TTTACCACGTTAAGTCGGTGGAAGCGCCTGCACGTTCATTATTTTATGACTTACAGGGGTTAGGAATTGATAATCGATAAATGTATCCTGAAATCGGACATCCAAGGTTAGGATTCGGATTTATTGTTATAAAATTAAAGTGCCGATTCCTCTTATTGATTTTTTCACGCTTATTTTCGTGTAAATCCTGACCTGGCGTTCTGCCATTATAACGTTACCTCAGTGATAAAGTTGGACCGCGGAAAGCGCCCAAGGTGTATTTTTGTCCAAAATACAAAGCTATGTGTGACATTTACAGTATTTGTTGTGGTCTTTGTTAATCTTTGGTTATCATTAACGACACATACACGAGGGAGTTAGCCTGGTGTTGAACACTTTACTAGCGAACTTAGAATCAACAACAACAAAAAAAACCCCGGGTCATACCAACTACACAAACTGCCTGGGGGTGTTCCGGTAGGAACCATTCACTGCATATACTACAGTATTGTCGGCTATAATATCATTTTTTTTTTTTTTTTTTTTTTTTTTTTACTATGTGTAAACTGACATGTACTCATTTGAAGGGAACGATGCCTTGTCAATCTTTTTTTAAGTCATGTAACTTAGTATCACACAAGCAAGATTTAGCCTACGTTTTCACGTGATCGTAAATTAATTGATTTTAAACAACAGTCCAACAAACAAGATTTTAGTATTAAGTGAATTACACTTTGGACATCATTTTGTCTGTTTTTGCTGTTTAGCCAAAACAACAACAAAAACGTACTATATTTTAACTGTCTTGTCTGTTCTCCTTTTCCACAGGTGTGAGCTGTGCATGTTAAGAAGACCCCTATCCATCTTGACGACCTATGAATTGTAAATCGAATCTAATTTAATTATTCTATTTATCTAACTACTACTACTATACCTTGGTCCAGTACTGACCCACTGAGAACATTTTAAACGGATTTTTATCCATCTGTGAATTTTGTCTATCTGCAAGTTGTTTAGAATTGTTGTGTGAAAATAAACGTTACAGTACAGTTTAAGGTTTAATTGCATAAAAGCTTGGATAGAAAACTTCCTATTGCAAAAGTTAGAACATAAGTCTGCATATAAATAATTATTGATACCGTAATGCAAGTTTTTCATGGCACATGTGCATGATGAGGTTGTTTTGTGTTTTTTTTTTTTTTTTTTAAAGGACACTGGATAACTTGTCATTTTGTTATACTCATCTGGATTGGTGGTTTACTCGTCAAAGCTTTTATAGTTTATAAGTTTATATGTGTCTCCCAGCCCTGCAAATCTGGTCCCTTAGATAGAAAGCAGCCAAAAACCCTTTAAAATCAGCAACTGACCAGTTAGACAGTCTATCTCAAACCAATAGACAATCTTAGACTAGTTTAAGCTGTTTTACCCCAGCAGGGAGTGGGTGGATGAGTTGTTATGAACTATCTTTCTAATAGATTGATCAGATAGCACCCCTTTAATCTTTTCTATTTTACCTGTTCATGATAATTTTTGCATGTATTTATGCATAATTGTTCATGATTGTCATGCATGATTTTTATTGTATTATATTACATTTTTATTATTAATGTATTTAATTGTATTAATGTATTTAAATGTATATTATGTAAATGTACTAATGTGTTTGAAAATACACAATAAACCTTGTGCAGTTAAAGCTTCAATTGTTCTTTTTTCTATTTCCCATTAACAGTTAAAATAATATTTCTACGGATTTTCTACAGGTTACACAGTAGCACTATAAAATAAATACAATAACATTTCATACTATACAGTATTATTAAAAATTAACAGTGTAATTCTGTACTTTAATATGGTAAGAAATTACAGTAAAATAATGTTATTTAATTTGCAGTATGCTTAACAGTACTGTAGTTAGTGTTACGGTAATTTTACTGTTAAATGAAATACAGCAAGTACTGGATAATTGTTGCCAGTAAGTTACTGTTAATTTGACAAGAAATTTTTTACACTGTTCCGCCTCTGCAACTATATTCCTTTCGCCTGTTATCATGCATCTTTCTTACTTTTGAAGACTCTCCCCATCCAACAGCTTGGCTCCAAATGCTATATTTCGCACATGCCAAACAATTCCGAAGGGATGAAATCAAATCTCAATCTATAAATGAGAAGTCATATTTCATTTAAAAATACTTGCTCAGATAAAATGGGTTGCGAATGACATTCAAAGCATAAACATGTGCAATGTAATTGTGAAAGGCACTACAAGAAATTAAGAAAATTCGAGAAAATTCGAGAAAATAGCAAACTAGCAAAAACATTCATAAAATCAGGTTGCACAAACTTTTGAAGGATGCAACCCGTGTTTTTCCCCCGTGACTAGCTGAAGACACACAGCAGATTCGGATACGGTCACGAAGAACAAGCCGTGAAATGTGCTGTGTTATCAAAGACCACATGTTCTTTTTTTGAAAAGGAGGAAAAAAGATGAAAGTCTGCCCTCAGAAAATGTTTCTATTCTGGGTAAATGCCATAGATTACACCCAGACAAGTGACGCAACCCAAAAGGACACCACAAAAACCTGCTGAACATCGCTACCGTAAAATAAAAAAATAAAATGTAAGTATGGAATGTTTATTCGAAAACTTCACGATTATATAATTGTCATATTTGTGTCAGAGCGTTGGCTGTGTAGTACAGCAGCGTTCGGGAGGTTCAAAGCAATCATCTTTACCAGAGGGGATTACAGCTTTAAAACCAAAGTGAGTGTCCCATTCAGGAAGGGATAAAGCCCAGTGTACTAATCTGATGGAGCGGAGGTAGCTTGTACGAAGCCATCCATTAAAGCCACCAGCCACAGTCATTTATGTGGACTGCTAACTATCTCTCTGACCCTACAGAGGAGCCTGAACATGTTAGCATTGCAACGCCTAGAGCATGTGCACAGCATAGACGGCATTAGTCATCATCAAAGTCATCGAGGGAAGAGAACATTCCAGCGAACAAACAATTTGTATGCTGACTGTTTGACATACGGCGCCGTCAACGCGGCCAATGAAGTCATATGCAGCCCAAGGAGCGTGTTATATCACAGTCTCTGACTGACGTGATGTTTCCGTACAGGTCACAATGTCAAATGTCTTTTTAAAAAGGAAAATATTTGGCAAAGGCTGTGTATAACGCCCCAAATCATTTCTAGGCAAATACACCACGTCTTTTTAAACACCATGTGTTAGGAAAAGCAGTGCTGACTTCACGCTGTGTTGTCCCTTGGCACTGAACACACGCAGGTGGGGTGCGCGATCAAAATTTTCACTTTCACCTGCTTCAAGCACCTCAGTTATTCTCTAAAACTGGATCATATCGACGCTGATCTAAAAATAAAGGAACAATACGACACGTTTTCATCAAACATCCCCACGTGAACCCTGAAACAAAGTGTCTTTCTGTTGCCACCAGCCTCTCCGGGGGAACGATTCTGTGCCAACACCCTGTTGGAAGATATAAAGCTGTAAACAGACCTGATGACGAAGAAAACACACCCTGGCCTAGATAAACAGTTATGCAATCCGTACTGGCTACTTCCCCCTAAAACAGAAGAGTAAATGCCAACACTACAAGTCCCAAGGCTCTGCTTGAACAATTGATGTCTGTTGGCTCATTGCACGTGGAGAGATGTGATAAACTTTTAGCGCCTTTGATTGAAATAGAGAACAGTTAAACCTTTAAATGCACCACCCCAGAAAAACAAAACAAAAAAAACTTTGTATTTTAATGTGTGATTTGAGATTTCAATCACGTTTATCATCTATGAACAAACGTATAAAATCTTACATCATAATCGTATTATTGCGTTATGAGGTTACAACCTCAAAACCATAACAGGATGGTAAGCTTATATATAAATGTATGGTAAACTTTGCAAAAATTACATTGATGATGTTACAAGCATTATGGCATGGTATTTTGCTGACTGCATGTTATTAAATCATGTAATGCTAATATATCAACAACATATATGAGCCGTTAAAATCAGTTTTTACTGTAAAATGCCACACAGTGACTTAAAGTTCATCGAAACTGGCCTCTGCGTCAACTATGGTCAATGATGGACATGAAAAGGGAGCACGATGTTAATACACAACTGCATTCAAATCACAAGATAATGCTATAAATAATAATAACATAACATAAATGCAATACAAAACAATCCCATGATCATAACATAACCAAATAAAGAATAAAAAAGATCAAATTAACACAAAATTAAATCCATCAAATGTGATCTGTCACACAAGAAATTCTCGGAACTCCCCTTTTCCATAATTTGAATGGTTTTCAAATGGTTTTTGTAATACATTTTTATTTTATTTTACTTCAAAGGTATACATATATTGCTTAATTAAACATATATTTATATTTAACAAAGCAACAGATACATATACACATGCTGTATTGTTGTTTTTACATTTTTTTTCCTTTTATTTTTTTAAATATATTATTAAGTTAATTTACAGTTAACCAATTAAGAGGTTTTTAGCATGGTATATTCTACCATTCATTGGAAAAATATTTTTTCGACAGCATATGATTGCAAATACAGACCAGAATAATAACCCTACTTGTTGTTTGAGAAAACATTGATTTCATAATGCATCTCATAGTCTAAAAAAAGGACATTCTCATTATTTCAATCTGCTCAAAACTAGGACACATCTATGATTAATTCGAAAGAAGACAGTTTCTTCGTACTATGGAGGTTTGACTTCCACAAAATAATTAATTTCGGTGTTTAAATAACTAGTTGTGCGCTTGTTCCGTCTATTTTTACAGTTTTGGCGCGCGCGCTGTCCGTGGTACTGAAATCCACACAACAGGCATGAGCACGAGCCGACGCATCCCCGAAACTTCTTCGAAAATAAAAACGAAAATTACACCATAACAAAAATCAACGAACTAAACCTGTGGGAGTTAAGCGTCTAAAGCAAAAGCCCGGCTAAAAACAAAGAAAAACACCTACCTTGCTCTCGATGAACCACGTTGGGGATGTTACTATCGCCTTTGCCTCCTTCAGCACTGATTTGGGTCACCTAGTGCTTGTGCACACAGCTCTGGAGTGAGTGAGTGAAAAAACCCTCATCCCTCATCAAAGATGGCGTGCCCCCACCTGACGTCATAATGACCCTCAACACAAGGGCGTGCCTATACAGCCTCGGAGTGAGTGTAAATAACCCCGCCCTCATCCAGGATGACGAGCCTCTCTAACGTCACAATGACCCTCAACGCTAGGGCGAGGCTGCTATGGGATTTAGAACTCATTGATCCCTGATAATTGTTAAATTGGAGTGCATAGGTTCAGTAGGTTGTTTATTATCCATATTGTTTATTGTGATTGCGAAATTAAGCATTTTCCTTCTCATTTAACTCTCTAGTAAATGCTCACCTTATTGTGGTCTCAGAGAAGTGGTTATCAACACTTTTGACCCCAGGGTCACCCACAAGACAATATTCAAAGACAAACTTCTGAAACTGGGAGATTAAAATTGTGTCAACATTCCATATATTTCAGGAGCAGTTTATTCTTCAATAATAATAATAATAATAATAATAATAATAAATTAAAAATTTGTTTGAATTTGACCATGTCATCAGTTCCCATAGCCTCGTTAGCCTAAATACTGTGTTTTGCATACTGTAAGTAAATAAAGGTTCCAAAATGGGAGTATCATATGGCTGTGCAATAGAAGAACCGTTTTGGGTTTCCAATGCATCATTAAAAAAATAAAAAAATAAATAAATAATGTGACAAACACTCAAGACCCTTTTGTTGAATTAAAAGGTTCCACGAATGGTAAATGTTCTTTATGGAACCACTGATGTCAATTAAGAACCTTTATTTTTAATGGTTTAAATTTTATTTTATTGTTAATCTAGACAAAATGTCCTCCTTATAAAATATGTAGTTGAGCAGTATAGTTTGCCAAAGTGCCTAGTTGTTCTCTCTTGTCATGTTATTGTTTGTAAAGGTGAATTACATTTAACAGTGACATTAAAGGGTTCTGAAATGGATGCCTTGTTTGTATATCCAGTAACTTTATTGTTTCTTGCCCCAAGCATCAAGCCTCCCATATCTCCTAACAGGATAAAGCTTAGATAAAAGCGCTTTAGCTATAGAGACTTGCAGATTCAGATAAGGGGGAAGGAATCAATAGCACTAATTTGATTATTTAATGGCTCCTAAAGGTTTGTTGCTCACTGTTCTTTTGTATGTGTGGAGTGTGTTTGCATTGAGGATAATGTGTTACTGTGGCGAAGGAGGAGCAGATCGAGAGAGAAACAGTCCGCTAGTAGTAGAAAACAATCTGGCAAAGTGCTTCTCTACATTAAGACAAATCAAGACATAAAATCTGGATACTTAATTCAGCAGGACAGATGAAGGTCAGGATTCTTCGGAGATAAAACACTGTCCAAAGAGCGGCTCCACGAGCTTAAACATGCACTGTACAACAAATCACACACACCCTGTTAGACAGTAGAGGAGAAAAGGGTAACACTTTCTATGAAGACTCTGCTTATAATGTATTATAGCCCCAATTATACTTATTTATAAGTACTATTCTATAAATATATTGGTAAGTAACACTTTACTTGAAGGGGTGTGCATAAGACTGTCATGACACCTTCATAACCATAACATGACATATGTCTTGAATATGAAGTAGGGTTTATGACAACTGACAAAGTGTCATTCACTCAATTATGACATTTTTAATGCAAATATGACATTGTTTGAGATGTCTTTGTTATGACACGTTGACATAAACCAATACATCATAACCTGTCAGTGTCTTTGTCATGCCACTTGACATTAAATGAAGTTAAACTGTCATGTGGTTGGCTTTGACATTGGCTGTCATGAGGCCATGTGTCATGATGAATATTTTTTGTGACCTCAACTACGGTGGTACACATTGAATTTGTCATTAAAAAGTTATAATGGCTTCATGACAGCCAATGTCAAAACCAACCACATGACAGTTTAACTTAATTTAATGTCAAGTTGGCATGACAAAGACACTGACAGGTTATGATGTTATGCCCTAAAATTTTAAGTTCATTGAACTGGAAAAAGGGAGTTTAACAATGAAGTAGATTAATTTAACCATTAGAAACTCAAAATAATAAGTTATCTCAACTAAATAAATTATTATGAAGTTGATTTGACAAAAGAAAATATGTTGTGATGACAAATCTTGAAAATATTTTTTACAGTGCAACTGACAGTTTAATGTAATGTTAACCAATAAAGCTAGCTGGTTTCTTAAGTTTGATAATTAATCTGCTATGTCATGTTTATGACAGGTTGTGTTGTCTTACTAATGTCAAGTTGTCATGACAAAGACACTGACAGGTTATGATGTATTGGTTTATGTCAAGTTGTCATAAACAAGACATCTCAAACAATGTCATATTTGCATAAAAATGTCACAATTGAGTGAATGACACTTAATAACAGTTGTCACAAACATGCATAAAACCTATTGCATATATATATGCATTATAAGTGCAGTCATAGTTAGATTTATGTTATTTTTTATAATTACTTATAAGTCATACATTTGATTTTTCAATGTGCATGCTATATAAAATAGATCCAGAGACACTGTTTGCTGTCTTTAATGGCTAATGTTTGCATTAGAGGTCATAAATGGTCATTTTGATTTGTTAAAACCTGGTATCGGTATTGTTTATAGCAGTTATATTATGCTTAAAATATTAAATTATGCTTTAAAAACATTATATACAATGTTTGCATGTAACATTCTTTTTTATGTTTCGACTGTTTGCATTTATGATTCACACCTCCCTCGTTAATTTATTACAACAATTACTGTTCATTAGTTACATTAACAAGTAAAAAACTTAATGGAATTGGATGTATATTTGCTTGAGGAAAATTACATCCTGTTTTCACTTGACTAAAGCCATCAATGATGCATTTATAGAGGATAGTAACTGCATTATCACTCACAATAAGTCTTTATAAGAACACAACATGGCTATTAATAACACAATTCACTCATTTGACAGAAATAAAACTGAATTACTTAAAAAATTCATTGTAACAGCATTATCGCAATGCAAGTTGCATCATTATATATATATTCATGGAACCATATGACTGGTATAGTCCAGTCATTTTAAGCCAAAATGGGGGTCAACTTTGAACAAATTGCAACAGAAGCAAACTCAACTAATTTTGCATCCTCAATATGTCCTGAGTTGCAATTTGTTCAACCTTTTTTCATAAAATGACTATAATTAATACTTATAAATCAGTGTATGAGAATGTTCATTCAAAAAGCAAATGCATGACAAGAAATTATAAAAATATTATAAATGTAACACCAACTGTTCTTATAATGCAGTTAATGTGTTTTTTATAAATATAGCCTATTTATAAAATAGTGATACTTAAGTATAAATGTATAAGAAATGAATCTATAATTTAAGCATGGTCTTCATAGAAAGTGTTACAGAGAAAACAACTGCCAGAGGAAGCCAATATTGACTCAAATGAGACAGTGATGCTTGTTAGTGCAACAACCAACAAACAGGAGACCCTGCTAAATGTATTGATTTACACTTAAGACTATTACAGCTGTCTTTAGCATCCAAGTCTTGTTTATACTGTCTGAAGACGCCGCTGTCATCCATGTCATGAAGTTTGGCATATTGAAATTCAGCTTAGGTTGTGAATTTAGTTTTACATATCATTGCAGCTCTTTCTGTTCGCACCAGCAGGGCGAGTGCTGATTAATCCTGAATTCTTTGACACAAGCGCACATTCACAGGACCCACTGTTACCAATTAAAGCTCATTTATCTGAGCCAGATTCCCTTCAGTCTTTCTTGTCAATTAGCACTGCCAGAACCAACCCCCACAATACGTCAAACAGAGCCCTTATGCGGCTCATGGTAAAAAAAAAAAAAAAAAAAAAAAGAAAAGAAAAAAGGTGGGAAATCTGTCATTAACCTCATCATTTGCCTACCAACGATGATTGCATGTTGAACTGTGAATAAGCTGTGGAAACAATATCCCTACTTTGTGAAGGCTTAATCACACGGCTGCAGATGTAGATAATTATATAGAAGAAAATCCATGTGAAATAAAAAAAAAGAGGCTCGTTTACAGAAAGCCACCACCCTAAATATCATGTGTGCATCTTAATAATTCGAATGGATATGACATCCAGCAAAATACTGCTGCAGGAGCTTTAAACTCACTATGAAGTATCTGAAGATGTCAAATCAACCCGGTCTCACCCCAAGACGTCATATAACTGACGTTTTGGGACGTCTTTTGACCATACGTCAATATTCGCCTTTTTAGGGCCCCCTTAAACGTCGGTAGATGAGGTTATGGGATCCTAACTCTACCCCATACCTAAACCTAACACTAAACCTAACCCGTCACCTAACTGACGTTAAAGGTAAAGCGTCAGTTGTATGACGGCCCAGGATCGCCATCTACCGACGTTTAAGGGGGCCCTAAAAAGGCGGATATTGACGTATGGTCAAAATACGTCCCAAAACGTCAGTTATATGACTTTTTGGGATGAGACTGTGTTAGTCAAATAGGATCAAATCACTTTAATATGCGGATTGAGGTAACAATTGTAATTGATTGCTTGAGCATTAATTATGGTCTCTTCAAATTTTGTATTTTAGACCATAATATGACTAATCAAAAAGGTACAAGAGGCTCTGCTATATTACACTCACAGAACAGAATACTACAGATCAATAAAAGAAGGTAAGTTGTGAAATATAGTAAACACAAAAAAGTCAAAAAGTGAGATGGAGAGTCATACTGTGAGTTATGAAGTCGAACTGTGAGAATTAAAGTGCAATTAACTTTTTATTTATTTATTGGCGTCTACTATATGGCCTCCAATTGATATGTTTTACTACTGTTAAAATTGATACAATATGCATTATTCCACGATTAAAGGGTAACAATTTATTTTGAGTCCAGTTTAGACATTCTATACTGTACTGCATGCCTATCAGTCATTAGAGTATTAGCAGTCTGTTTAACTTTAGCTAACACTTTATTTTGATGCTCCCTAGTAACTTT